AAGAGTCCAGGCCAGCACAAAAGCATGTGCCCTCCCCTCCCCGCTCTTTGAGCCCCTCACCCCCAGTAGTGTGTGTAGTTTGTGTGGGCATTGTGGGGGGAATGGACACTGGGAAGAGTGGGGACATGAGGACTAGGCTGGAGACGGGGCAGATTTGGCAAAAGATTAAGAGGCTGCGGAATGTGTGAATAGGAATTCCAGGGTACTTACAGAGGAAAGGAAGTGTGCAAGAGTAATACAAAAAAAATGAAGAAAGAATATAAGAGAGGTTCATTGATGGTATGTTGCTGTAAATGTTGCCAGCTCAGATGATGAAAGTGAGAAGAGTGGGTCCATGGATTAAATGCCTAGGCGAGCTGAGACCTGATCGAGTTGGTTCAGCTCCATTTTTTTTTAACTTTAATGCCAAGTCTTTGCAGAAGTTATAGAAACTCCCCTTCTGCTGTCAGAAATAAGTCTTTTTATGGATATTTACACTGTTGTTTTTAAACAATGAATTTGGCCTCAGGTTTATGATTTAGGACGAACATGGAGTTAGTTGTCTGGAGTTTCTCTACGGTCTCCTGCACACTAAATACTCCCTGCAAGTGGAAGGTTGGAATTAGATAAGATAAGATAAAACTTTATTGATCCACACAACGAGGAAATTCAGTTGTTACAGCAGCAGGCAAGTCAGAATGAGGTAGACACGGGAATAAAAATATAAAAAAGGCAATAGAATAAAATAAAATAAAAGAGTATGTGCATAATATACACTTGTCACTGTATTGTTTTGTATAGAAACCTTAGAAAGTAATTATTTGTGTGTGGACAGGCAGGCGTGTGTGTGTGTGTGCAAACCAGGAAGAGCCTGCTTGGTCTGTAGTCTGATGGTATGATTGGAGGGAAACCGTAAGCTAAATGGAGTCACTTGACTGGAACACTGCAGCCTCTGTGATCTGGCTTCAGCTCACTGCACCTACAGTGGAATGCTACTCATATACAGAACGTACAGTTTACTCACACGTTTCCCAAACGTTTTTTATATCTGTTGTAGTCACATTTAAGTTAATTTAGTTATTTGCGCTCCTTCTTGTGAATTTACGGTCTCTTCCAGTGCACATAAACACTCCCATTAACACCTAGTTCGACTGAAACACATGAACACACAAATATGCATGTTTACTTACTGCTGTATCCCCCAGGCGCGCACATGCTGAGTCCTACGACTGTAGCCAGAGTTATTGGCAAGTAAGACTGTGTGCTGACTTTTAATGTAAGCACCGGGTCTTCTCTCCAGTGATTCGACACATTTGCAATAATGACCGGGATTCATTCACTGTATAAAAATGGGGAATATTTTGAATAAAAACCCACAGCACAGAATCCTTTTCACACTCGCACGAGTTGGCCACACTGGGTGCTGCACAGACCCGATCCTCCCCCCGTGTGAAGCTCTATCATATTCATAACTGAATCAGTGTGGCTGTGACAGCTCTCATCGCCGCCCTTATCACCATTAATGTGATTTGTCGTCTACATTTTACCCTGGAATTCAAAGCTGTGCCAGAGGAAACATGGCATGAAGATGTTTTAACTTCCCAAGCGTCTCTTAGAAATGTACAAACTTGTCAAACAAAGTCTGCTGAACAGATTTATCAACATTTAGCATGTGGCTAGTGTTGAATTCCAGTCTTGACGATTGCCTCGTTCTCCTTATTTTGTTGAAATTTCACAGTCAATGCTTTTAAAGTAGTATTGATGTGCAAAAGGACTTTGCTTAAAATGCCCAAGAATATTTGTGTATAGTATTCTTATGGCTGTTTGTGGTGAATGGTGAAGTGAATTGTATGGTTTATAATTACAGTAAGTGCTGTGAGACCCCACGCTGCCCTCTGCTGACATGGCTTTCATTTACCCTCTCCCTTCTCACTCCGCTGCACTGAATCCTCCTGTTCACAGCTTCACTCCCTCCTTAACCAAACAACTCTTGCATGTCCCTCATAAAAACATCCCACTTGCAAAGTTGTATAGGAAACAGCTCAATTTTCCACTTGTCAAATAACCCACTAACTTTTGCTGGCTTTTGTCTGCAGGCATGGACACAATCAGCATTTACCCCTGGGTCTAGAGACACAGTTTTTTATTTGCTTCGTTTGACGGTGATCACAACATGGCCCCCTGGTGACCGCACCAATTTCTTTTTTTATTTTGTCAATCTAGACGCTGGCGCTGCACCTTTTCTGACCTGACATTATTCAGGGAAAAGAAAATAGAAGTGCAAACTCCTGTACTGTCAGTGAGAAAGGAGTCGATCACCTTTGTTGGTTTTCATCAACTTGCCCTCTCGCTCTTTCTGTAAAGACTGGGTCACAACGAAGACACACAATATCCCACTTGTTTTTCCAATTGACCTATTGATTTCTATAACACTTTTGACTCCTGTTTAATTTGAAAGCGCATCAGTCAGTAGGAAACAGCAGGGACATCAGATCCAGTTTCATTGATATAAATAGCAGTTATTGACTGTCGAAAACAAAGAACAGATTTATTACATGTTACACATGAAGAATGTCAGCACGTTATTTGGCATAGTTGTTTCCCAGAAAAACACTGGCGAGCTTTAACGAGTGGCCACTCAGGAGTGAATGGCCATCTTTGTGAGTGTTCCTAATTACTTGTTCACAGGCCTGATTGCATTACTGTGAAGCTCTCCCTCATCGCCAGTGGAGCTCTGGACGATATCAAAAGTGGAGAGGAATGCACCAATGCAGACGCATTTATTGGGGTATTGCTTTAGTTTGAACGGAAGAATTGCCTATTGTGTGTCTGCAGTAAAATGGCCTCTCATGCTTCGGTATAAGAGTTCTTTCTCAGCTCAGGCAGACTTTTTACAGAGTTATAATTGTATTGTACAATTGTCAACGCTGCTCATTCTGAGAGCGTATCCCAGCAGCCCCTGCCTGAGTAGCTCTCTTTCTGAATGTCACCTGTTCTCCTACTCTGGGAGCTGGCTCCCATCTGGGCTTGGCCTGATCACATGGTTTGCCCTCCGCTCCTGTTTCCTATTCCTGCCACATGATACCTGTCACCTGCTCCTCAGTTGGCCAACACCCTCTTTGTCTCTCCCTGGCTGTGTCCTTTCCTGTGTTTATCATCTCTTTCCACCTCCCACTTCTCTCTCCATCAGGTGGGGCTGCAGTGTAAAGTACTAAACTCACTCTGGGAAATGTTTTAAACTGCAAAAATACTGGCAAGCTGTTTTCACTGCCAGCAAAACCTTCTGGGGGGAAAACAGTCTTGTTTGTAGCCACATACACAAAACTAGTTAAGAGCAGGAAGTGTCTGTCAGCGAGGAACAGAGTGGCGCTCAAGTGCCGCAGTTCTTTTGGCAGCGTAATTGTAGAGCTGTCTCCCAGAAATGCTGAAGAGTGTGTGTGTGTGTTGCACGTCTGTCAACCATAAACCTGACAGTAAACACCAAAGAAGGGTTTGTGTTATCTGATTTACTACATTTTTGTGCAACAGTCAGTAGACAGAGGTGTAAAGGCTCATTTATGCTTCCTTAACGTACAACAACAAAAATTTCAGTTTCAAACAACGTAACTGTTACTGCTCATACTCCTGTGTGTCCTTAATGTTGGCATGGTTGATAAGCAATACATCCACTAGAGAGCAGCACAGAGTCTAGAGTTTCTGACAACAAACATGGCGACAGGGCGGTGGAGGAGGATGTAATGAAGAGGTAAAACAGTACATTTGTCCCTGTGTCCTGTAGTTTCTTACCAAGATGCAGAGTCTCTCCCCCAAAAGTTTTGCATCAATATCATTGATGAAATTTTTGTCCTGTGTCCTATGGCCAATCTCGCTTGAACCATTGGCTATGCTGCCCCCCCATGCTTTTTTGTGGTACTGGTTTGTTTTGTCTATTTGTTCTGCATCTATATGATTTCAGAAGACATGCATAAATATGAATGAAATGAACGCAGAGTACAAACAAAACGCTTGGCCTGTTTCTGTATCTTAACATTGAGCATAAATGAGCCTTAACAGTGCCACATTTTTAAACATAAATCCCAATGAAGGAGGAGGAGCTTGGAAATTGTCTGGATTTTCCAATTAAGCATATTGATCACTGTTATTGACACACATTGTATTTGACCTTTTTATAGTCAGCTCTTTCTACCTTGCTTTTATTTAAATGTAATTTTTTCACTGCTGAGCAGACCGGTTTCTTCTTGTCCAACACCTTTCATTGTACTGTTGACCCTGTGTTAACTTGCATAGGACAAATAAAACTTGAACACAAGGGATGTTTTCAGTGCAGGACTTTGCTGACAGCATGAGGTTTAATTTGAATTAAAGTTTAGGCCCCAAGCTCGCTGACGAGTAATGAGTTTAAACAAATTCCTACCCAAAAAGCATGTCTTCCGTCCCACCGTCTGAGAAGTAGATTGGTGTTTCACAGAACGGACAGTGGGTCCTCTGTGGCCTGCAGAACCAGGGACTGGTTGAGGGGGTAATAACTGCATAGTTTTGGCCTGTTGCTCTTGATGTTCCCTGCTAGCCTGTCTTGTCTGTCAATCTGAACCACAGATGACACACAGACGCACGCAGCGCTGCTGGCAGAGGAATGTTTCTGAAAGCTGTCCTGTTCAACAACCAGGCTCTTGTGAAAGCACTTGGCATGGCCACAGCCGCAGCACTCTCCTCAGCTCTCCTATCGAAAGACGCTTTGTTCGGTTGGCTTTGCCACAGCAAGAAGGAGTTTAATTATATTAATAATGATAACTGTCAGTTTGGTTTTTAACTTATATCACTATAGGTATTTGGGTTTTCGACTGGTCAGACAATGCAGTGGCCATTTTTCCGAATTTATTAGCAACTATTTGAATTTATGATGTGCATTATCCACTGTCTTGTGATTTGATATATCAACAAGGGAAATGTACTGGTGCTTCGATTGGAATTTCATACAGAAATCTTCTGTTTCAACTAACTTTCATTATTTGTGTCTGCAGCCTTTCTTCAGACTACTGAACCTACGGAAGCTTGGCCTGAGTGACAATGAGATCCAGAGGCTACCACCCGAGGTGGCCAACTTTATGCAGCTGGTGGAACTGGACATCTCCAGAAACGGTACATAAATACATGCATATAGAGCAGGATGGGGAATTCTGATACCGAGTGGTTATCATATAAATCTCCATGCCCTGGATATACACCTATAAGATAATCAGAACAGTGCTTAATCTCCATGATGCACCTACAACTGAATGCCAACTGTGCCCTTAGTTATACATGTCACAGAGATGTAAGAAAAAACTCATTCCAGTAACGCCTGCATATATTATATTCTGCTACTCAGCGTCTAAAACACACACACAAATATGTTGCCCTCTCTTTGTCCTTGCATGCTGCACACAAACACACTGAGGCAGGGAGGGCCTGTGTGGTAGATATGAGACATCTGCTCTGCTCCACACTGCACCAGGTGCTGTGAGAGCACTGTGCAGTGGCCTGTAAGGGCCTTTCCCATCTGTCTGCCTGTCTGCTTTCCTGCTCCTGCTGCAGGACTACACCGGACCAGATGAGTGTCATTGGCTCAGTAGGGTTTTTTAACATGCACCTGCAGGGTCCAGTGATAAAAGTGCTTTTCCTGGTCAGACCAGTAGGTCATATTTCCACCTGTGCCTTGTGTATGTGAGACAAAATAAGAGTTCACTTTAATCGCTGCCTTTATCATTTTAAGTTATTTGTTAATGCACAGACTTAGAAATTAACTGTAAAATTTTAATTCATGCAAATTGTTAGTTGATTGAGGAAAAATAAAGATGTAATTTCAAACTTTGAACACATCCACCCTAGAACAACTTTCACGTCTGTTTCTCTCCTTTTTCTTTTCCGTTCTCTCACTTCTCTACTTTTGCCATCTGGTTGTGATTTCAAGAACTTAAAATGATCGGTCTATAGAATTTGACCCCATTTCTTTCCCCATCCGTGTGTTCATGGTGCTGACTCTGGTCTCCCACCCCCCTACCTCCTCTTTTCTCCTGCAGACATTCCTGAGATCCCCGAGAGCATAAAATTTTGCAGGGCCTTAGAGATCGCAGACTTCAGTGGAAATCCCCTCTCCAGGTAAGTGGATTGGAACGGCCCATCGCTCCGTTCATCAACACTGTGAGAAAATGTTGTTTTTGCTGGGATAGAACAAGGAAAAGAGATGCAGCACTGGCCTGAAAAATGAAATAAATTATAGTAGAAAATAATAAGCAAAAAGACTACAGTTCTTATATTGTCCAATGCATTTAATACTGTCTCATAGCAGAGTCCACAGATCTTATCAGCGCCAGATATCTTGGTTATAAACAAAAATTATTTGGCGACTTCAGGCGGTCAGTCAGTTCTATGAAATCTGCCCGATTTTAGATAACTGCCCGACCAGTTTCTGGAGGGATGAATGGAAATCGGTCTGAATAGGAGTCGGGCCAGAACCATCTGTGAGAGGGAATAAATATGAGCTCATTGATTTGTCTGGTTTCCAGGCTGAGATTTATTCATCGTACAGAACAAAAGCCTGAAGGAGATCATGCCTCGTGAGATGATCTTTGCAAACATGGCTGTGAATTAAATAAAGTGTCTTTATAAACAAGTCAGGAAACCAGTATCCTGTAGTAAAAACATTGAATTTTTGTCAGACCCCTGATAAGTGATGTCCAAGTTGGCATATAGAAAAGCAATGGAACCACTGACAAAAGCTTTGTTTGTGAAAACTGTGATAAAGGGGTTTATCTAAAGGGCCTGCCGTGTGTGTGAGTCAAGTGTTCCCAGGCATTGTACAACAGAGACCAAAGAGTCACTCTCCACTAATTTCCCCTCCTGTCTTTCTCCCTCAGATTGCCAGATGGTTTCACTCAACTCCGAGCGCTGGCTCACTTGGCACTCAACGATGTGTCATTGCAGACGCTGCCCAACGACATTGGAAAGTATGTGTACATGTGCACAATAGCTCATAGTAGAGAATTTGATACAAAATATAATTGAAGAAAAATGAAATGTGCTCTTCTCTTTCAACATTTATCATTTTTTATACCTTTTAGGCCTCAGTATAAAATGTTTTATCACATCAATTTTCCAACTCTACTCCTGCATAGTTTAGAATATTGGATTATAAATACTTGGGAAGAGAGCAGAAGTTATTTCTCAATTTTTTCAATGAGCTGATTCAAAATGAATTAGTAACAATCACTAACTTATCAAAGAAAAATACCTACACTGTTTGAGTTTTCTGTCGCTGTGTGTTAAATAACTGGGATTTTGGGGTAAAACAAACAATTTGAGAATATTACTTAAATAAATTACTTAAGTAAATTCTACCGACTAAAGATCCTGGACACAAATGGAGCCATGCTGCATCAGAAAACTGAGCAGATTTCCCGAGGAGTGTAATTCTGTTGTCAAGTGGGCTCTGAGGCAGCTGGACTCTGGGCTCCGGGCCACTGTTGCGTTCAGACAGATGGAAGAGCCCCTCACCATGCCAGGCACCCCAGACAAACAGAGCTGCCATCTGACTAACCAACCTGCCTCTCCTCTCCCCTTTACAACTCCCCCAACCTCTCTTCCCAACACCTGCCAACCTCTACCCCTCTTTCTTATTCCTCTTGCCTCCTCTCGCAGCCTGGCCAACCTGGTGACGTTGGAGCTCAGGGAGAACCTGCTGAAGTCCCTGCCCTCGTAAGTGTCATCTTAAGTATACATCTACCGAGCTTAGTGTTCTATCTAATTCCTCATCATCTCCATCAAGCAAAATAAGCTTGTGTTGACAGCACGGTATGACAATGGTTATATAATGCACGAACTGTCAACACTGTCTCTCCTACTGTTACTTTTGCTGTTCACATGAGCATCATATTCCTCATGAACACAAACTCTTTGGATAAAATATCTCTCAATGCAAATGCAGCAGCTGAGTGTGAATGGATAGTATGTTGAAGTCAAATGCAAAGCTCTTCCCTTTGTTGTTACAGGGTCCATATTTGTGTGACTTACCACTTTTATGTGTGTGTTTGTTCAGGTCGCTCTCTTTCTTGGTGAAACTGGAACAACTGGACCTGGGCAGCAATGAACTGGAAGTTTTGGTAAGTGAACAACTCATCCTGTTTAATCCCAAAATAAACAGTAGATGATTCATTCTGTCCTCAAGCGATCCAAGAACAAACATAGTTGTGCCTTAAAATAATAAATGGTATACTGTATTTGCACTATTACAGTGAGTGACACATGTCACAAATATCCTCCTCACCTTCCCACGAGAGTAATTATGTTTACCTTACATAACACAGCAGAGCCAGTCTGTCAGACCTGAGGCCTGCACTGTACCCCAGGGTGAGCACTACTTTTAACCTGGGAACGCCCACCTGTCTCAATAGAACAGGGTAAACAATGCCTAATGACCTGACAGGGGCCGAGACTGAGCAAACAGTTGACATCATGATGAAACCTTGCCTGCCTTTCATGTCTGACATAAGCCACTGCTTCTCCGAGAGTCTCCTTAATTTCATTTATCACTTTGACTTTAGTTTGACCTAATTTTCGGAGTCTTCAGCTCAGTGCGACTGTGACGGCAAACAATAATATGCTTGATTTTTGAGCCTTGATAAAATTGTAAGCAAAAAAGATCCCACAAAGAGGAGCATACATTTTATGATTCTGCTCTGAAAGATGATAAATAACTTATATAGCAAATAAAATAATCTGAAATCAAATTAATCAATTTAATTGAAATCTAGTTTGTCTCTGTGTGTGGGGGTGTTAGAGGCACATGATTTCTGTTTGCTAAGGCCACAACCTCACTTAATAGTTTTCAAATGGTTCAGATTTCCACTCAATGTTACGTGTGTTCACTCCCCTGACTTTGCTCCACAAATATTACCAAAAATAAACAACCTTCTCTTATCTCTTAGCCCGACACCCTTGGTGCCCTCCCCAACCTGCGGGAGCTGTGGCTGGACCGTAACCAGTTGTCCTCATTACCACCAGTGAGTATCATTTCATAATACAACTTTTTTTTTATTGTTTCCCTGTTGCAAACACTTTTCTAGAGGATACACGTGCAGGATGAACTCCCACCAGCAGACTTCCTCCCCTTGTTTCTGTTATGAACGTAATGGTTGTGTTGTGTCTCTAACTGTAAGTGGTATTTATTGTGCGTAGGAGCTGGGGAACCTCCGGAGACTGGTGTGTCTGGATGTGTCAGAGAATCGTCTGGAGGAGCTTCCCTCTGAGATCAACGGCCTCCTGGCTCTCACTGATCTGCTGCTCACACAGAACCTGCTGGAGGTTGTCCCAGACAGCATAGGTGAATAATACAGAGGGAGAGAAGGAAACATTGATCTACTGATGGATCTAATTGTGAAATTAGTGTCACCATAGCAGCGGTTACTGTCATTGCCACCATACTCATTTTTCCTCCAATGATAAAGCTCAAAGAAGAACAAGTTGCTCAAGGGTACTTTGTTCCCTTAACTTTTTTCCACATTGTTACACTGCAGCCTCATGATTTACCTTCCATACTCCATATCGATAAAGCCAAGTTGTTTTGAATTAAAAATCTGTAGTATGAAATTGACATTAATGTTCAGACCCTTTGCTATAGCACTTGAAACTTAGCTCTTTTTTTCCTTCTTGTCCATCAGCCCCTGAGCAATGCGTACCATGAGTTAGCTCAGGTTTACACCACCAACAACCCGGCTGAGCTGCGCAGCGTGGTCAACAAACACAGCGAGACCTTCACACGAGACAACAACACAGGCCTGGTCAAACAGTGCCTCTCCTCCCTCTACAAGAAGAACATCCAGCGGTTAACAAAGGTGAGTGTGTGTGTTTGCTTGTGTGCGCCTGTCTGTCAGTTATAAGAGCATGTGCTCCTCTATCTTCCAGAAACACTATATTCACATTACATGTTATTTTCAGAAGCAAAATATTGCTAATACTCATCCTTGAAATGCATTCACATGATGCTATTTTACCAAGACTACAGTATGTTGATTAAACAAGGTACTTATTGGTCTGCGTGGCCTTTTATGACGTGTTTTGTCTGCTTGTCTTCAGTCATCCAACATTAAATATCCAATAAACTATTTCACCACAGTCCACAGGGTGAGTTGACTTTCCATTGTGATTTTATTTAAATATCTCTCTCTCTCTCTCTATTGTGTCTCCTGCAGACTTTCCTGACGCTGTCTTTGCAAGACATGGCGAGTCGAGTGCAGCTGTCAGGCCCCCAGGAAGCAGAGAAATACGTCTTACACATGGTGAGTTGGTCCAGACCCCCCTTCACATATAAAATATAAAATATAATCAACTGATATCTAAACAGTCTTATACATTATACATTTAATCATATTTAACATATACTTTAAGTTTTCCGGGGGGGATATTTTAGCTGCATCCTCCCAACGACCGCATCGATCATGTCGACCAAACTGAAAGGAGACATTCTAGTGTTCTTATTGCATCACCAGCTTGTCCCATCCGTTGCCTAGCAACAAAACTATGGAAGAAAATGCTCTTCAGTTGATTAAAAACATTGAAAAGATGTTTTTTTATCATGTGTTCTGTGAGCTGTCCAGTTGAGTACTTAAATTTAAATTTAAAAATACAGTTCGTCACTGAAGGGCAGTGAATCATGGGATATGATGGGCCGAGAAGGATGCACCTAGTGGAGCCTCAGTTGCCCCAACACAGTTAATTTTTTATTAGACTGATGGGAAATAAATCTTTCAGCCTTCAGACATAATGAGAGGATATAATTATATTAAAAAAATAAGCTGTTGTCTATCGCCATCATGGTCACAGGTTTTTTTGTGTGACACTGACATGTCTCTTCTTTGTGCCTTTTTGCAGATTGAAGATGGTGAGATCTATGCTAGCATTAACCAAAAGGATGGTATGGTCTGCTTCCATGACAACCCGGAAAAATACAACAACCCAGCAATGCTACACAAAATTGACCAAGAGGTGAAGATGCCCATCTCTATTTTCACTACTGACTTGCTTTGCAAGCTCTTGTCATAATAGTATTAGAACTTTTTAAGTGAAGCTGTGTCATTTTTTCCATTTTCAGATGTTGAAATGTATAGAGCTGGATGAGAAGCTAAAGTCTATGGATCAAGAAATCACAGTAAACCCACAATTTGTGCAGAAGGTGAGTTGATGTTAAACAGCATCTTATATGTAAATATCATTTCGTTCTCTATCATATGAACTTATGTTATGGGAAGGCCCTTGAAGTTTTCCTTGTGAATGTCATGATGTGCTTTTTTTCTCTGGGGAATTTACATTCAGGCATTTTATGGGAAAAAGATACATCCATGTTTAGTAGAATGGTTGCTTAGCAGTAGTAGAAATTAATGAAATTGTAGGAACTAGAATGGTATTTAGTAGAACGCAAACCTCAAAATTTCCCACACTCCTAGATTTCTGTTCTCTAAATATTTTTGTCATCAAGATCCATGATTTTTTTACCTTCATTCAAGAGAGTGGTCTTTCAGTTTTAGAGCAGGATGAGAACAGATTTTGCACTCAAATACCTGGCCTGTGCTTAGATTTGCTCTGCCTGGCTCAAACTGTGTGCTTGAACTCAGATATTTTGTTGTTGGGACATATTTCCTACGCTCTAGCTCTTCTTTACGCAAAAAACACATTTGATCATGGACTAATGTCAAAGCACTACTATTGGGTTTTCACAGCTAAAGTATCCAGTTAATCTGTTTGTAGAACTGCTTCCTGGAAAAGGCGCCTGGTTGGTTCCAAGAGATAAATGAGACAGACACTGTTTACAGAACTGTAGCAAAACCTGTTTGCTCCTAGTTGTTGGGTTTGTTGTCGTTACTGATGACAGAGTTTTGACATGTGACACATTTTTTCTTCTAGAGTATGGGATCACAGGAGGACGAAGTTGGTAGCAAAACATCAAGTTACTCCTGAGGGGCCTTGGACAGGGACAGAACGCTGCAGCTGCCCAACACGTTCTTCCCAGGATGAGTTGGATTTTTTTTAAAGAGGAAAAACATTCTATTGCATAAGGACATTGGTCAAGGAAAAAATCTAAATGTGTGGAATGATGATAAATTTGGTTATTCTTTCTTCACAGTGTCTTAAGGATAACAAAAAGGTCCTTACAGAAAAGGAAAAAAGATTACAATTTTGTCAGTGTTTTATTTATCAATGTTCAGGATGGAGCGCCACTGCTACATTAACAGAAACCACAATAATAAAAACTGGACTTTTTGTTCCAACATATGTGTGAATAATTTCACTGTTTGTTTTGGTTCTGCTGCATGATGGCCGTAACTCGAGAGCATTACATAAAAGGAAAACACCTCTATGGCTGACAAGGAATAAATCTGATATACTCTACATTTGTAAAGACTGCAACGATCGTTTCCCTCACTCCTTTGGTTAGAATGTAGATATCATCAATAGTCAAATCTGTACACATGTACATGCCCTTGACCAAATTCGGCACAGCGCAGGAGTCGTTCACAATCTGGTGCACTGTTTTGTTGTTTTTGTTGTTTTCCTTCCTTTTCTCTTTTTGTTTGTTTTTTAGGTGGGATCCACTAGAGGTCGCTAGAGCATTGTACAGAACCCCGTTTTGACAGCTTGTTATTTACAGGAGACGTGAAGTCAGCAGATGAAACCAATGTCATGTCATTTGGGAGCTTGAGCTTTTGCGATTGTGGATCTGTTAATAATAAATTGTTTACGAATATAGTCGTGGGTTTCATGCCTTTTGTGATCAAAACACTCATCCAGCTTGTTTTCTGCTTGTTCTCTGGTGTGGATTTGAACTTCCATCCACTCTGATCGTCACTTTGAGCCACAATGGGTTGATAGTGAAGCGGAATTACAATTCAACCAATCAGCGTCCTCACACGGGCGGATGGGGGACAACAACCAATCGCGACGCCGCACCCTCTTCACAGAGGCGGGACCCAACCCCTAAATTAAAGTTGGCACACGCCAATCAAGCGCAGCTCTCGATCCTGATTGGTCCGCGGTTATGAATGAGGTGGGTCCTGACGCCACTAGCTACTGTTGAAATTCCAATGCTAACCAACTTTAGCCAGGCTGCTAATATGTAATTGAGCGGAGACACACTCGTACGAAGCTGCTGTGGATTAGAACGCACAAATAAAAGTTGGTTTCCAGCGGAGGGACATTGCTCAATTCGTCTTCATGTTCACTGCTGCGAGTGTCTCCGTCACCGCAGCCAGGACATGTCCGGTTAGCCAGAGCGCGGCTATCGGCGGATAACGAACCCTGGCAGGCGAGCTAGCCCGAGCCAGCCTCGTTCGGACTGCTGGGTCTGCGGCGAGGGTCGGGGTTTGAGCAGCAGCGGGTTTTCCCCCCCGGAGGAGCAGCAGCGGCGCCGAATGCTGTGACTACCATGAGTCCCGCGGGCTGCCCCCATGTCAGCGGCTTCAAAGTGGACAACTGGAAGCAGAACCTGAGGGTCATTTATCAGTGCTTCGTGTGGAGCGGTTCGGCGGAGACGAGGAAACGAAAGGTAACAAGTGACAGGCGGAAACGAGTGATTAAAGGGGGGGGGGGGCAAGGATCCAACGGCTGGCCGTGTGTGTGAGCGTGTGATTGGGGGAGAGAGGGAGGGTGAGCTGGCATGGACACTTCCCCGCCCTTCCCAAACAACATCAACACCAGACGGGCGCTGCTGATGCTTGCCCCCCCCGCCAAACACTCCCAAACGTTCGGTGTGTGTTAGCCGTGTGGCAGAGCTCAAATGTCCGCCTCGACACGTGAAGTGCTGTTAGCATGCCCTGCAGTTAGCCCCACTCTGCCGCACGTTAGCTTCATCAGAGGAGCTGGAGACCGCATCGTGATGTGTTGTGCATTTGTTTTGCGGCTGCAGTGGCTCCACTTCCTCCTCTGACACACCGCTGGGCCACTGCTCCATGCCGCCGTTTCCTCGCTTGTTTTCTGGAGGAAGATGTGACCAAGCAGCCATAAATGTTTTTCACCACAGCCCAATCTAATTAGATGTTTTCCCGGTAACACCCAAGCCATGTTGATGGTGCGTTTACACTGCGTGACAGGATCAACAGGGTTTGACTACCATGGCAGGGATACGGGTTTGGTTAGGCTGTCAACAATGAGTGGGAGTCAATGCAAACTGCCAGTAAGGATAGCTAACCTGTTTGTGTTGCCTGACTTTTTCCAGCATAAACACTGAACCCTTGTCAGGACCAGTAAACCTCATGGGGACCAAAGCCCAGTTCTAATAAAAACAAAACGCCATTTCCGAGGTCCGGATTAAAGCAGGGGGTAAGATGTAAATAGTGCTTCGGTTTAGGCAAGGGTTAGGCATGAATTGGCCATGGTTAAGTTTATAGTTAAGGTTTGGGTTAGGCTGTCCACAATGAATGGTAGTCAATGCAAGGTGCTAATAAGGATTGCTGTGCAAACCTGTGTGTGTAACCACTAGTCAGCCTCTCATTTCATGAGTGTCTGTACATGTGTTTGCACATGTGTTCTTCATATTAAAAATCCACCTTTTTATGTTATAGAATCAATATAACACAGTAAATACCTGCACTTGTGCATCTTCTACTTGCATCTGCAGCATGTGAACATGCCTGCTGCATCTGCATGCACTCTGCACCCCTGTGTGCTCTGGGCACCCTGCGTCCCCCTGTCATGTGCACGGGATCAGTGGGAGCTGGTCGTCCAAAGGGTTTGTACACTGGAGTTTGAATGTTGCAAACCCTATACCCCAAAGAGCAGACAAGACTGGCAGTAGGGCTCTCACATGCCTGCTGCGTATGACCTCCCTGTGGTGCTACATGTTTTATTGATCCTGGCTCAGTTTTCAGAGAGGAGCAATGTGTCTCACAGGAAAGCCCTTACTCCAGAGGAGACATAATCTAGGGAGTGTGATTACAGATCCCTTCAGAGTTTGATGTGCAGGAGGGAGCATGATGATTTCCATCAGTTTCACATCTCATATTTTTATTTGGCAGATTAACCTCAATGCTGTGCATTTTTTAATTTCTGCATTCCTGTAGAGCCCTATAGAGTCTCTGGACTGAATCATACACATTTAACATCAGGAGAGAAATGAACAATGCCATGCATGTTACCAGATATTCCTTACTGCTCCTGCATCCACTGTGGTTGTCTGTAGGTGGCTACAGGATGGTTGGCCGTGGCTGAGAGGTAGAGAGGTCCTCCTCCAACTCAGAAGGTCGGCAGTTCGAACCCAGTTTTCCCTATGCCTAAATGTCTTGGGCAAGATGCTGAACCCTGAATTGCCCCTCATAGAAAAAGTGCTGCTAGTATGAATGTGTGTGTGAATGGTTGACAAACTGTACTGTAAAGTGCTTTGAGTGGTCATCAAGACTAGAAAAGCTTTATATAAATACAGACCATTTACATCAAATTTAGCTGGTTTCCTCCATTTTTTCCTCCATCACTAAATTCTCCCAGGGTTTCACTCTCCACTTTGCTTACTGTTATATCTAGCAGCTGTCACGAACAACTCTCAGACGTTGAATGCTAAGCATCCATTCACCTTGAGAATCCACAGGCTCCATTGGCAGCAGTGTCGATCACTGAAGTGTCTTATCACATCTGGGTGACAGGTGCATTGGAAGTTATTATCAATCACACAATGAATTTCAAAAAGTCCATCTAAGGCTGATTTCTGTCAGCTTTGTACTACTGCTGCTGCCTCTGCTCAGCACAACAGCACAAAATGGAATCATTGTGAAAGAGGTCAAATGGGTTATAAACCCAGAGCTGGTGGCAGGAAAAAAAGACAGTGTTTGCTGTTTCCTGCTGCTCAAATGAGAGGATTTGCGTTTTCTTGCCATATTTGAAAGTAAGGTCAATAAAGGTTCATAGTGTTGGTTGGACAGAGCAATTATATTTATATATCATTTTGGTCTCTGAAATTATGATGGGCACTTTTTCTCTATTTGTGACATTTTACCAAACATTGAATTGAGAAAATAATTAAGAGATTAGCAGAGGGGAATATGACCTTACATTTATATCATAGTATTTTTTTTAAATTAAAAGGGATACACCTCAAAAGAAGATTCTAGGTAAATCTATAGATGATGAAAGAGAACTTATCTTAAGAATGGAAAAAATGTATTTAAAAATAATAATAATAAATTAAATCAAGTGTAAGGGGATTTCGTTTTGTTAACAAACTCTTGAGGTAAACTAATGAAAACTATTAGTGCTGCTGCTCATATGGAATACATGAGCTGCAAGAGGAAGGCGATCAAATGAATTGCATTCCCTGTGAGCGACATGATCAGAGGAGACAACAGAACTGAAGTTCTCTGAATAAAAACCATACCACACGTCATGCGTGTCAGTGAAGCCCTAAGCCAATTAGGGCAAAGTACTGTCATCACTGAGGTGCTTCCCATTTGGTGCAGCCAGAGGAGAGAGGCTGCTGCGCCTGACTCATGAAACAAGCCACTTTACTCCCACTAGGTTTTAATGTCATGTGACATTGTGATGCTCTGCAGCACAGGCAAAAGTCAGACTCTGACCAGAATGCATCATGTTAGGTTGCCTTGTCTAATGAGCTCATTAGCCACTGGCGCGAGTGAAGAAATCATTATTCTGCCCCCACCTGCATAAGTTCAATCAAAATAAAAACACTCGCTAGTTTTAGCCATCGTTAGTTCATGTTATGTTTCCATTTTTCTTTTCAGCAGAATCAAGCTTGGTGCTTCAGTGTATAGCTCCACCACTCCTCTACTATACCATATTTTTGCCTAGTGTCTAAATCAGGGGGCCATAATGGGGCCACAGTGTACACAGAGGGGCCAATTAGCTAACATCCATGCCTAATACTATAGGTTTGAGCAAACCCACACATCATTTAATAGAGATGTGGCATTATGGTGCCACCAACCACCACAATTTTCTCAACCTGTGGGTAACACTTCACTGGGCCAGTGAATCGTCTGTGAGCGCCCATGCTGCTTTGTTTGGAAATTAAGAAATGCATGGAAGTGCTGCACACAACAAAGAGGAAGAGGGGTTTATAAAAAAAACAGCATCGTGATAATGCTTTACCCCTTCACAGACATTTACCACAGTTATACCCTGATATATACCTTTACTGTGTTTCAAATTTTACCATTATGATATTTATGGCCATACTGCTTAGCCCTAACGCAGACTGTTGTTGGCATGGCAGTAAAGGATGTAATTATGGGTTGATAGACGAGGAGACAAGATTTCCTACATGAGTGTCCTCAGGGACTAGAAAAGTACACATGTGAACTGTCTGGCAGGTCTGAGAATGAGTGTGAAGATTGTTGCATATTGATGCCTTTTCATAATTCATGTGCTGTATAAGCACTTATGCAGGGATGGGTGTGTGTGACTGGAATAAGAATCTGTGTTTCTCAGTTTTTTTTTTCCATTTTGTGTCTTCGTCCTTGTTTATGCTGATTTAAGGTTTTCTGCTTAAGGGGTTTTAAGGTGGATGTTTGTTGTTAGGATGGGGTTGTCATTAATCTGATCAAAGAATTTGGGTTTTCAAAATATGTTTATTTGCCTTGAGTCCGAGAGGGAAAAACTGATGGGACTTTCTTGTCTGGTGATTAGCTTAGCTCACCTCAAAGACTGGAAACTGAGGGAAACAGCTGGCCAGGTGTGGGTTGATATTTTATTTGTGTATGGATCAAACCAATATGTTACAGTATTAGTTCTATATAATGTGAGATTGAGACTGCTCGTCATTCATAAAGTCAGTAACATGCCACTATAGGCTGTGGTTTATAGGCACTTTTTACTTCTGTCTGACATTTTAATAGACCAAATAATAAAACGATTAACAAGGAAAATGAGCAGCATATTACCCAAATATAAAAAGAATTCCATTGTTCATAAATGTGGTGCATCACATGCTAATGTGCTCTCCACATTCAAACCAGGGTAAATGCATGCAATGTGACATCATTAGCACTGTCACAAAGACAGTGTGGCAAAATATAGGAGAGATTTTAATGTCATTTATTCCAGTGCATGTGTTTCGGTCAGTACAGGTGGACTGGTGTTCAAAACAATGCAAATAAAACACCTCAGTTTTCAGTCTTTTGACTCCAGACAGACAAGTCGTCTGTTGTTCACATGTTGATACTTATTTTCTTTCTTTCTATTAACTGTTTCAGTCTATATGTTTGTGTCCTTTTGTAGGTGACTGAAGTGGAACATATTTGGTCAGCACCTGAAATCTGACATTGAAATCAACCTTGGTCATTGGCATCATCAGCATCAACATTATAAACATCATCTTCTCTTTGATTTGTGTTCTTTTGTCTTTGTCTCTTCCCTCGCACCTTCCTCCATCTTCTTTCTTTTTCTCCCCCGCTGTCTTTTCTCATTACCCCTGCACTCTTCTCCCAGGCATTGCTCATTTCTTCACGCCTCCTCATATTCATGTTGGCTCTTTGGCATGCCAGCTTCTCATCTGCATGCTTTTGAACTGTTGCCTTCTACTCTCCATCCACAGTTACCACCCCGCTCATATTTCCAACACGACTATCAAACAGAATGCATGTGATTCATTAATGTCCATACACTACATACAGTAAATCAGGATTGCCAGGGGGTCTCTAGCCATTACAGCAACAAAATAGGAAGAGCCAAGTGCGAGAGATATTGCGCACACCACTCTTTCTCATACTAAGAAAATTGATTGCTTACTAGTTGCTTATTGAGATTATGTGCTAAACATCAGAGCCTATAGAAAAAGCTCAGTGGAATGTTTTTCATCTGATTTAAATATTAATAGAAGTCAAAAAGTTTGAATTTACTCATGAGGCAACATACTTTGTTATTGTGAGGCAACAGTGCTATAAACTGCACCTTCATGCAGCCCATTTCCAACATTAATGATATACTTTGTTTCTCAATTTTTACCTGTGTTTTATTATATCTTGAATATTTGTTTTTAAGCAGATGAAACCAGAGATACTGATGTTGTTAATATGTCTGTAAGTGCAACAGTTGTGATAATCAATGCTTCTTTCTCTGTCCGTCTCCATTCCTCTGACCCCCACCACGACCCTTCCAGGCCAAGTCATGTATCTGCCACATGTGCGGCGCCCACCTGAACAGACTTCACTCCTGCCTCTACTGCGTCTTCTTCGCCTGCTTTGCCAAAAAACACATCCACGAACATGCCAAGAGCAAAAGGCATAACCTAGGTATGACACACACACCCAAGCAAACACATTTAAATATGCACTGTAGAAGAAAATATTTGACTAAATATCTCTTCTTGTTATTTTCTTAATGCCAGTTCCTTTATTCCTCTACATGACACTGTGGTCTGCGTGAGACAAACTGTTTATACATTAATTATCAGGTGCCTGTGTAAGATGAGAAGACTTTCTTGCCTACATGTGTATTAAATGTACCAGAACACCCACCCCCCTGATTCAGACAGGCATCAGGTTAGCAGACGGGGTGAAGAGACTGTCCTCACGCAGACCCTATTGTTTTAGTTTGACTTTGATGTGATGGTATAAAAATGTCTCCATACTGTTGACCAGGAGGCAGTATGGTGTTGTCTTGCTGTGATGCTGTGCTGTGAATAAAACTCATCTGAACCAGCACAGAATTTGGACCTGAAGGAATTTTTAGTCTTCCACAGTACCCATTCTCTCTACCCATATATTCAGTGTCCGTATTTGATGTTGAAGCAGGTGTGTTTTGGGGGTTCTTTTATGCACATGGGTGTCACACTGGCCCATCCACACCTGCAATTAGCCCCATTTGTCTAAATGAGTTGGTGCTTGCCTCCTAAGCAGACACACTGACAGTACAAACATCACACACACACCTCTGCACACTCCGCCGCCAGTAACGCTGCTTCTCTCACAACATAGGCTGCTAAAAGGGCTAATTATACAGTTGAGTGGATAATGAAGATGTAGCTTTGGGAGACTGCATGAAACAGTGACAGTTCATATCACCAGAGTGTGTGTGTGTATGTATGTGTTTGTCTTTGTGTGTCCATATTTCATATCATTTCAAACTTATTTTTATTTTGGAAATTTTCAGCCACCTGATGTGTGACAGGGCAGAGTGAGCGCAAGGAGAGGAGCTGAGGCTGGAATGCAGGAAGGCTAATAAGTGCAAGCGCATGGTATTTGATTGAGAGCATAAAAAAGACCACGGTCTTGAATAAAGATAGGGGGGGAAGAAACACTGCAACACAGACAAAGGATTTGAACGTCACCTGTGGGCTGGCCTTGTGTAGTCCATTCGAGGCAATATATGCATTGGTGAACTTACTAATGAATACTGAGCTCTGTTGTGATGGCTCATTAAAATTAAGGACATTACAAGGCATTTTGTAAACTCGGTTTTTAAAAAGACCTTTATGAATTAAGTGTTTTAATATAATCATCAGCCTCCTCCAAAATCCTTCAAAATATGCAGTGTTATGCACGCGTTTTATGAAGTGGAAAGAAAAAATATGTGGTCTGTGTTTTTTTTTTTGAAAGGATTATTCATCTAAAACTGAGAATATAATTGAAAACATTGCAATGTGATTTCAATGAATGTGATTTCAATGAATATAATTTTTTAAATAATTTTTTAGAGACGCACTAACCTTCTCACCACGGCTCACACAGAGGTCGCTTTGTTTGCTGCATCACAGTGAGAAATGGCAAAGTCATATTTGAACTCTATGTATTAAATATTTGCATCAGAGACACAATCTGGAAGGATCCTGATTCAAAACAAAGACGTGGGTGTCTGCAGAACCCCAAGAACAGTTGGCTGTTCTACCCCATCCCTGCTACTCCCACAGGGACACACTGCCTTTACTAATCAAAACATACGGAAATATCGCGGAGGAAATTGCTGAATTACCTGAAGTCACTCATTAAAAGCAACTGCTGGAAATGGCATGTTTCCTTCTGGGAACAATGGGCCATATTAATATACAAACCATTGTGAAGTCAAAGGAAAAGCCTCTGTGATGAGCTTCTAAAACATTTTCTGTGGTCTTTGCCATATACTCTCTACTGGAGGGATGAATGGAATTCCTACGATTGGCTTGCAAACATCTGGCTATCTTCTCTGCTTCAGTGGTGTGTCCTACACACATAAGCCGTTTGAACATTGGTTGTGAGTGACTGTCATTCCAAAAATCTCAGTTTCTGCTTGTCCAGACTAAAATACAACCGTGGATCTTTCAAACTAAAACGTCAACAACATACTTAGGATTTTGGATGTAGCTTATGTCTCTCCAGCTTGTGAAGACTCATGGTCATGAGCAGTGAGAGCACAGGTAGGCAGGTCGGTTAGTGACAGACAGGTACGCCAGCGATTCATTCGATTTGGTCCAAATGAAATTGGCTGTGTTTATTACCTTCCAGTGACGGCCACAGACAACACGTTTATTCGCTGATGGCAGGAAGAGAAGAGAACAACCCTACCGTTAACCGATGGTGTTTTGATGATAGTGCCCAAAACCTTTGGATGAGATCTGGTGACTGTAAAGGCCACAGCATCCAATTCACATCATTTTTAGAGCCCAACTGAGGTATTGCATGGGCTCTAATGAAAATGCCCCATTGATTTTACATTCAAAAGACTCAGTAATATCTTCAACACAAGGCATCATCTGTTAGTCCAAATGCTGCCACACCAGCGGCGCTATCTTTATTTTACGTTCTCCACATAATAGAATCAGGTTGTTTAAGTAAAGTGCATCAGACTGCAGTGTCTGGAGGAGAACTGTGCCGCAGCAGAGACACTCAGGATTGTCGATGACAAAAGCTGGGGTTGGCAGATGTTGAGAACCTGCTGATTTGTTTTCATGAAGGCTCCTTTTACTCTGCACTATCGCTCAGCTCAAGAAGACCCCCCTCTGTTTTCCACGAATTGTAATTGTGACTTTAATTAGGTTAACTGCTAAATTAAATGTTGCAAAAAAAAAACAGTGAGAAACTGTGTAATATGGAGGGAGAGAAATGATAAAATTAAAAAAGGAACAGATCTCAGAAGACTGGTGAGGAGGTAATTAAGTCGTCTTCAACAAACCCTGTGAAATTAGCCTCCATTAAACACGTCCCCTCCTCTTCTTCTTCTCCTCCCTCTCCTCTTTCCTCCTGCTTCTCTTCCCTGTTTTTGCCGTGCTATCTCTTTCATCAAACCATTATATGCATTTTCACTCCCTATTGCTTGTATTCTGTTTGCGGCCTCGTACTGTGATAATCTCTCTGTCTCTGTCCTCCATCTCTCTTCTTTTTCTTCCTCTCGTTCCCATGGTTACCTCATGACCCTTTCGATATTCAGAATAGTAACAGGATTTCATCTAATTCTACTTGTACCATTACTGATCTTGCTGTTCCATTTTTTAGTTTTTTAATTTCTGCAAATCCAGTACTGTAGATTAATTCCCTACCCCCTTACTTTCCTCTATGCTGTAATCCCTTTTTTTTCCCACCCATACCTGCAGTGGATGCCAGGAGAGGCCTGCAGGCAAGTCGTCATGGCAACTGCCAACAGGTAGCTGCAGGGCACAGAGCAGAGGTGAGGAGAGGAAAGGAGCGGAAGTAAGAGAGTTAAGAGAGTTTGTGACAGTGAAAGATTGCAGCTCCCTCCTCCACCTCACCTTTTGACTTCCCTGATGCTCTCTCCATCTCTCACTGTGTCTCGCTGTTGTCTCTGGACGGTATTAACAGATCGCGGATAAGTCAGCAGATAAACCCCTGCTACCTGGCATTGCAGAACCATGGCAACGTGGCCTTAATAAAAAAAAAAACAATGAAGAGTGTTGAAGCAGTTTACACGGCTCGTAGCTGCGCACAGCCCCATTATTACCCAATGAAAATCCGATAAAACGGCGTCCCTGCATTTAAATAATACAGCTTTTTGTTTTCCTTCTCATTCTCTGTCCTTCCAGCTATTGACCTGCTGTATGGGGGAATTTACTGCTTTATGTGCCAAGACTACATTTATGACAAAGACATGGAACAGATTGCCAAAGAGGAGCAAAGGAAAGCATGGAAAATGCAAGGTATGATGGGATCAAACACAAAGCTGTGCGCCATGACAAGTATAAGATAAAGTAAAAATAACACCCAATCATAGAATTTTATCTTCTTTGCTATAACATGCACGTATAGTATTTAGACATAAGGATATTGTCACATAACTAAGGTCCCATACAGTCGCTCAGCACTAAACAAACTGAACTGAACAGATGTGTCCTGCAATTAAACAAGAATAAAAGAGAATTAAATGTGTTTTGAGCCACAGAAAAGCAACAGTAGGCTTTTATATATTAAATCACTAAGACAAAGAAAGAGGATCTGGTCACACAAGAGACAAAGAACAAGTAGTCCCTGCAGAGTCTAAAGGCAGATGTCAGATAGTGAAATACTATAGAAATATTTTTATACTTCTTAAATACTGTTAAAATGTCTTTATTTCACCTTGTATAGTTACTGCACAATAAATAGTTTGGCTGTTAAATGGTTGTGTACAAAGAAACTTGCCTTCCCGCTCAAGAATTGCATGATGCAAACGTGTGTGTGTTTGTTTCTTTTCAGGCATAGGGGAGAAGTACTCAACGTGGGAGCCCACCAAGAGGGAGCTGGAGCTGCTCCGCCACAACCCCAAGAGGAGAAGAATCACCTCCAACTGTACTATTGGTACTTTCTTTCTCACCTTCTGTGTCTCATGCCCCTCACTCACTCATACACACACACACACACACACACACACACACGCAAAGCAAAGCTTATCTAGTTGCTGTTTGTCAATTTGGGCAGGTCACTTTTTTTGCTCTCAGACTTGCACTGAACTCCAGATAATCCCCTGAATCTTTTTCCGAAGGGGCTATATGTGAGAATGCAAATGTCCAAGACTCAGAAGAAACTCTGGACATTCTGTAAGATCCCCCTAGTAAAGAGGAGAATGAGGACTCTGGAGGATGTCAGCATGAGCCCATGTGATAATACAGCAGAATTCTGTCCTCACAGTGAGCGAGGATGTGTTAATGTGAAGGACAAAGTATCTGTGGATGAAAAAGAGGTGCCATACACGTTGAAAACATTTTGCTGCAAGTACTGTGTTTGGAGCTCACCTCCTCCTCTCCCTCCCTCTGCTGTGGACTTACTGACCTATTATACACTCACTGGCCACTTTATTACGTACACATCACAGTCAAAACCAATCCCACTCTGCAGCTCTATCACTCCTACTTTTTCAAAGCGTACACATGCAACAACGAGGTCGCAAATACAAGCGGCCAAAATGAGTTTTCTTTGTCGGGTAGCTGGGCTCAGCCTTAGAGATAGGGTGAGGAGTTCAGACACCTGGAGCGAGCTTGGAGTAGAACTGCTGCCCCTTCACGTTGAAAGGTGATGGTTATGGGGTTCGGGTATGTAGCCAAGATGCCTCTTGGGCGCCCTCTGTTAGAGATTTACCAGGCATGCCCAACTGGGAGAAGACCACAGTGTAGATGCCAAAGTTACTGGAGGGATTGAATATCCCATCTGGCCTGGGAACGCCACGGCATCCCACAGGAAGAGCTGGAAAAGCATGGCGAGGGAGAGGGACCTCTGGGATGCCCTATTTACCCGGCTAAGTGGAAGACAGTGGAGGGACACGATGTTCAGTTTTTGTCGACACTACCAGAGGGGTGGTAATTCCACTCTTGAAAAAAACGTTTAAATGTCGTTCTAATATTTTGTCTATTTCCATACACAACAAGTCAAAACTATTAACGACATGAATTATAAATTAGTTATGCACAGCCCGGGGTAATAAATGGACGGTGAGAGGTGTTTTTTATTGTGTTCCGAGAAAAACACTAGCACATGTTTGTAGCAGCAGGGAATATTAAAATGAGGCAGTGTGTTGGAGAGAGGAAAGCTGGCATACGTTTAACACCTTGAAGCAGCCTGCGGTGATCTGATCGAGCACCATTTACATCCCTGGCACCGTCTTAGGTGAGGGGAAATTACCGGCTAGGGTGCTCATCTCATCTGTGAAAGCGCTACTTACCTCCATCTATCACCCCTTCCATCCTTCCTCTCCCTCCTGCTCTGTCCTTTTCTTTCACCTCCCCTGTGTGTACGTGCAGTTTAGTCTGCTGTAATCTGACAAGGGTTTCCCTGCATGCAGTTCAACGTTGCCTAAGGGACATCATAGTATTAGTGTGTGTGTGTGTGTGTGTGTGTGTCATTGGCAGCACTGCAGCCTATTTGCTCCACTGCAACAGCCGAAGAAAAAGGATCTGGCTGTTTTTTTTTAGCAATTCCTCTCTGTCCCTCATGTTTCTTTTTTCCTCCCTGTCTCATGCCCCAATTCTTTCTGTTCATCTATTCTTTATTTACTTCTTATTTATCTATTTATCTAATTATTTCTTCTCTGCTCCATTCTCAGGCCTTCGCGGTCTGATAAACCTGGGCAACACATGCTTCATGAACTGCATTGTCCAGGCGCTGACGCACACTCCACTATTGCGGGACTTCTTCCTGTCTGACCGACACAAATGTGAGATGCAGAGCAACTCCTGCTTGGTGTGTGAGATGTCCCAACTCTTCCAGGAGGTACCTTTTAATTTTTTTGGGTTCGTATGTTTTCAAATAAAAGCAAAGAGATAAGAGATGTGGTAGACACCCACATGTCCTCTGTAGTTCTACTCAGGCCATCGCTCTCCTCACATCCCGTTCCGCCTCCTCCACCTGGTGTGGACTCACGCCCGTCACCTGGCTGGTTACGAGCAGCAAGATGCCCACGAGTTCCTCATTGCGGCGCTGGACGTCCTGCACAGACACTGCAAAGGTCAAATGGACAGACACACACAGGCCACATCCACACTGCTACATGTTTGTTTGAAAACGCATGAACTCTGCCTTAGATACGTCTGACGTCCACAGTACTCTAAAGCAGAGAGAAGTTTGGAAACCCTGCTGATAAGTTCATAGTTTGAAAACTCTGGTCAGGCTCCTATCACGTATGGAAAAAATGCAGCAAAACGAACGTGTTCTGAAAACATTAATGAAGTTTAATAACAAAGTTAAAGTTTCGCAGTGTGTCAACAAATTTACAAAATGTGAGGTTCTGTTCATTTTTAAACGTGAGACAATTTCATAAGAAAAATACGGACTTGGTGTGCAAAGACCTTTAGACTAGAAGATGTGAAAGAAATGAGGAAAAAAGCAGGGAGGATGAAGAGGAGGAGAGCTGGAGTAAGTGATGAGTGGAGAAGAGAGGATGAGGGAGGGAGAGAGAAGTGAGAGATGGAGCGAGACGGACTCTCTTAGATCTCTGTGCCTCTCTGCAGTTTATAAGCAGAGGGAACTGTGAAGTCACACAACACTGCTTTTAGTGACTGTGTGTGTTTTGTGTGTGTGTGCGCAGATGATAACGGAAAGAAAGCCAACAACCCAAACCACTGTAACTGCATCATCGACCAAATCTTCACAGGGGGCCTGCAGTCTGACGTCACCTGTCAAGTCTGCCAGTAAGTGTTTGTGTGTCAGTGTGTGTGTGCTCTCCGGAGATGATATGAAAAATTTGAAGAGTAATAGAGAGGATGTGTTGTCTTAAGTGCTGCTGCTACATTGTTCCTTTCTCGGCTAAACAGGAACTGTCAGAACGCTCTAATCTGTCGCTTTGAGGTGACCCCCCCCCCTCTTCTCCACCGTTTACACATTGCAACATCACTCACACACACATACACATGCAGTGCACTGCCACACTGCAGCAACAAGAAGACCCTTTAATGGCTTACAGTCTGTAAAGTTCATCTCTAGTTCCACCTGGTGGCCTGAGAGACCATTGGAAAAAAAATAATTTGCAGCCACAATATTACATTTCTCCGTCTTACGCTTCACTTAGAGCAGCTCCAGGTGCAGACCTCCACATGTGGAGAAGGAGGTGGTGCCAATACAGATCAAGCAGTTCACCTTTTTAATGAACCAGACATCCATATATTGTGCAGCAGTAACATCCATTTGAGTTTGCTTGTTCTCCCCTTAACTCTATAGTATAGGAAATAAAGATATAGATTCAAACCAGCTTAAAAGTACATCTGTAACCTCAGATTGTGATAGTTTCCATTTTTGTCTTATAGTTAAAACCATTATTGAGGTGGCTGTTACATTTCTTGACTTGAGCTGGATTTCTAATGATGCCACAACATATATAAGGCAAGTTAGGTGTCCTAATAGCTCCCCCTGCTGAATATAATTGGAACTGATTTAATTAATAAATGGATGAAGCTCTTCTCACTATTAGAGGTATTAATACTTTGAGTTAAATAAATCAGTGCATATAGGCAATATTTTGAGAGATGCTGATACTCACCAATGTGACTCTGGAAGGAAAATATTGGTAGAATGATAAATCGGTTGGGCTCCAGTAAAAACACAAATAACAAATAACAGCCTTCATGAGTCAGTGCTGTGACGGACTGGACACCTGCATTGGCTGAACCCCACCTCTCGCCCCGGAACCTGCTCTAATCCTTTGTGACCCGAGAAAACCTTGGAGACCATCTTTTCTGCAGGGTTACAAACACTATCATCTGATATCCTTTGTTGTATATCGTCAACTGCCGGCTGCAGAGTGCACCCCTGAATGGCGCTCAACAGCAGAGTAATCTTCACAGCCCAGATGAACAAGCTTAGCTGGTAACATAAGCACTGCAAGGGTGTAAGCCAGCAGCTAAATTGATGCCAGAATGAATTTCCTGCCCCCTTCTTTTGTGTCCCTTCTAATTTAAATGCCTGACACAATAAAGGAAAACTACAAATTACAGTGTGTGTGTGAGTCTCCTACCAACACATGAACACATGATACACAGCAACTCCTTGAATCTATGTTAGAGACTTACTGTACAGCATTTTCCCTCCCTCCAACACGCTCACCATCTTCTCTGTCTCTCTATCCCCCTCCTCTTAGTGGTGTTTCAACAACCATAGACCCGTTCTGGGACATCAGCCTGGACCTGCCAGGATCCTCCACGCCGTTCTGGCCCCTCAGCCCCGGAGGAGACGGATCGGCACTAAACGGAGAGAGTCACACCACCGGAGCCACAACGCTCACAGATTGTCTCCGCAGGTAACTGACCCAGCGAACAAACATTGTCATGGAATATTCAGCATGTAGTCGTATACACGGGACGGCGTGGGTTTCAAGAAGTGAGGCACCAACCTCAGCTGGGAAAAGGTTGCTGAGGTGGGATGAGAATCTATTCAAAATGCATTTAAACATTCTAGTTTTCGAACTAACGTCTGTTCTGTGGCTGCGATAAATAAAGTACATGGTGAGAAATGAATTACAAGCTTGCAAACTTGCCCATTAGAAGATAGCAGCACATATTTGAAAATAACCCCCTGAACTATATTATATTATAATCTTAAATTCTAGTTTACTAGAACAAAGATATGTATTTCTAAACCATAATGTTGCAGTCTGAGCATTTTTTGTTTCAAACTTCTCACTCATGCCATCTGCTTTGCAAAAGACACCTAAAATATCAGCAGGATGTACAGCTGGTAGTTCGCCTGAGCAGCCTGCCTTCAGTCATGTACAAAAAAACAAGTATTTTCATTGTCTCCAGACTCCACCCCTTCATGGCGTGCGCTGCTGCCTCTAATCTGGTATTACCTCACATACTATGTACAATATTGTGCTGTATGTACTTTGCTATTCACCATATTGATAATCTTGGATTATTTCCTATGTGTATCAAAATCATTTTTCTAGCTCCATCGTGGCATTAACCATCAGACCATTTTTCTTTTTTTTTCTTTTTAGAACAGACACAAACTCAGAGACAACACCAATCTGAAATCACTTTCCTCAGCCATCACACTAAACCCTCAGACAGCAGTGAGTAACATGTACAGATACGCTTCCCTGAAACCAATTCCTGTTCATCCCCAATTCACTGGAGCAGAGACATCGGGGGGGCTGCAGCAGCATCGCTAAAAACACACATACACTCACAGACGCACACGCGTGCCCACACACACRCACACACACATATACTAGCACTAAATCCTGTCCCCTCTCCTCCAGGTTCACCAGACCAGAGCACCTGGGCAGCAGCGCTAAGATCAAGTGCAGCGGTTGCCATAGTTACCAGGAATCCACTAAGCAGCTGACCATGAAGAAGCTGCCCATTGTGGCCTGCTTTCACCTCAAAGTAAGAGTGTGTGTGTGTGTGTGTGTGTGTGTGTGTGTGTGTGTGTGTGTGTGTGTGTGTGTGTGTGTGTGTGTGTG